GTTCAGCAGAGCTACAATGGCCTTTCCTCACTCCTGTGGGACCAGGGTTACTACAGATGCATACCACCAAAGCTCTGTGCGCTCCGTAGGCGAGGGCTGACATCATCTACGTTCCTTAGGTCTGGAAGGTGCTGGGTCACAGTGTTTCTGTGCTGCAGGTTTTCATTTTTTAAATTGCGATAACAATATTGATGTCAAGAGAAATGCATTCAAAACTGCAAGGTGTTCAGGGAAGTCCCGTAATGCTGACAATAACAGTGATTTTTGTCTTTCGTAACAAGCAAATCACTTGCTATAATTGCTGCCTCTTTCAGTCTTGAACTGCAGTCCATTCCCACTCCATAACAGCAGGTCTGTAGTCTGCTTTTGGCAAAATTGCGGAAGAGTACAGTTGTCTCATCTTACTGACTGGAAAACTCCAAATTTCTCTCTCCCTCCTTGGAGTCAGGACACCTCATGAGAGATTCATATCTGGTGCTTCCTCTGATGCATCTTCTCCCACCTTTACAGTACATGACATACCAGCAATAGGGGAAGCAGCTTCCCAGCATGAGCCCCATACATGACAGACTGTGGACACACATTGGCCATTAGTGTTAATTTGATTTTCACTTAACGCAATTAACCTCTGTATCTAATGACATAAAATAAATGAGAAAGGGCCACTAGTACTTCATCATGCTGCAAGAGATTAAAATAGATGGGTAAGTAAGCCCAGTTAAGTAGCTTACTTTGAAATGAAGAGTTTACAATGATTTGTAACATTGCAGTCCTCAGTCTTTATTATTTGATCATTCAATATCTTCTGCTTCAGAATCCTAAATCCCAGGAGCCTGTTACACTGGATTTTCTAGATGCTGAATTGGAAAATGATATTAAAGTAGAGGTGAGATTTCTGGGTTTCTTAGTGCTTGTTGCTGCTTGTATTTCACTGTATAATAACTCAAAAGCAATGAATGTTCTAAATTTTCACTACAAATGTCAGTTTTAAATTTGTCAAGACAATGACTTTACAAAGAGATGAAGTTCTAATAAAACAAAATGAGACCTGGTATTATGTGCAAGGGCAATGCATTATATTCCTCTAATTTGGAAGACATCATGATTGCTATTTAAATAATAATTCTTCATTACATGGCAATTCCTGGGGAGGAGGATTGTAAAATTTTTCAAAACAGAACGCTTTTTAATAGGGTATTAATTTATTACCTGAAGTATTTTTAAAATATTTCCCTGTCTCTTACTAACACATGCTTATTGCTGTGGTGAGAGAGAGAACTGAGAAATACAGTTAAGTGTTGACAACTAATTAATTCCTCTGCATATTTTTCAGTTAATGATTTTGTAATACGTTCAGAAATCAGAATTTTCAAAAATAGTTTGTTAGTTTGTGAAACAAAATGAAGGTTTTTAAACTTTTTACATTTTTTAACATATTTTTTCACTTCGTTTGAAGTTGTTCTTTCATAATGACACCAATCAGCATTTCTGGGTATCTGTTATATTCTGCCTTAAGTTTCTTTTAAATTCTTGCTTCAGAGAGGAATTACTCTCACACTGGTATAAAAATGTTTTTGTGAATCACTGCTGCTACCAGAATCACACAGATGTGCTGGGAAGCACGAGAAATGTTAGTCAAAACTCCTCATCCGCACAGAAGTCTTACTTTCTTTTGTGCCCAACATCAAGGGGTTTTATGGGATGGTCTTGCTATGCAAAATATACCAGAATTGTTGCTTCATAACTCTACTGATTCAGTATATATTTGCATAAAGCAACTTCTAATTAGAAAAAACTAGAAATTGTAAATTTAACTTTTTTTTTTTTAAAGAGCTATGACTTTCCTGTGCATTACCATTTTCTGTGTTTCTATGAAATATTTTGAGTCACTGAAAGGATTATTCATGTTACGTGCAACACCTAGTGCTTTTTTTTCTTTTTTTCCTTTTTCGTCCTTGCCTGCAGATTCGGAAGAAAATGATAGATGGAGAAAGTGGGGAAAAAACATTTGAAACACTGGTCAAGTCCCAAGATGAGGTAAGATAGGAACACAGGCAATTACATTTACAGGAACAAACAAAAGCAGAAAAATACTGTGAAATGGTGAAAAGATGTTAATTTTGTAATGTCACTTTGTATCATTTTTCCCTCCAGAGCTGCAAGTTTTACTGGCTTATAGTAAAAGAAATTAAGTACTTATGAAAAGAAGAATTGTTTAGTTTCTTGGTTTCTTTGGTACATCATTAATCAGGCAGTTGTTGATGAGGTCTTACACTCTTTTCACCAGGAAATGGACCCAGCCCATTTCTCTGTATGAATCCCAAAACAAAGTACTTAATTTTCTTGTGGAGATGTGTGAGCATGGATTTGGTAGTTTATGTTGTGGTTGAATGGGAAGAAAGTAGTGAGAAAAAAATGTAACATTTGTATGCCCTAAATGAAGACTATTTGGGATAATCAAATTCATCTTACCTTTATATTATGTACTTGTGATTTCTGAACAGCTTGTTGAGTTCTTTATTTTCTTGTCCAAAATGCTCATTCCTGATAAAGATTGCTCCTGGTTTCTCTAAGACAACAGACAGGTTTCCTAGCAATAGGAAATACTTAAATTGGATATGAATCCTTCTTGTGGGCCTAAATGAGAAGAAATCCTGACTGGTGTGTCAAAGGAGCAGTTCTGGCCAGAGTATGCCCCACGGTTACAGTTCTGCAACAGCTTTTTGAAGCTGTTTTACTCTGAATGTAATACAGCTTGAAGATAGTTAATTTAACGACTTAGCAGAAGAACATGAAGCAAATACAACATCAAGCAGGCACTAGACAACCATTATATATGTAAGCACACTATAACAATACTCAGCAGAATTGCTTGGCACTCTGCAGTTGGTTTTTCTTATGTAGTATTAGCTGCCCTCTCCTGTTGACCTCCTGTAACTTTGATATCTCCAATGGCTCTCCTGTTTGTATTTAAATGGCAGAATGTTCCAGTAAAAAGTTCCTTCTTCTCACAAGGCATATGCTACAGAATCTAATCAAGTTAAATTGAAATGAAATTAGACCTCAGAGTTTAACAGGGTTTATTATGTCAAAAAGAGCACATTCCTTACTTATACTCCATTCAAAGTCTAATAGATGGTAGCAACATTTAAACTCTGCTTTAAATTTTGGTCACATTACACCAAATGACTCCCAATACTGAGCAGTTCCTATTACCAGTCCTCTGACTCAGTTCTGCATGGAGGGAAGATTCTTATACACTTATTCTCATTTTGATACAGAAACAAATATTTCATAGTCCTGGTCTATTTTTACACTAAGCACAGTAGAAAGTTTCTTGTCTTTGTGGGTGAAAATCAGTGGCAATGCTCATGTTGCCTTCGCTAGATGAGGCTGAAAATGGAGCTGAATTTTCTGAAACATGTCTTGATCATTCATCCATGCTGTGATTTCACAATATCAGGTTCATGGTCACTTGGTTGCGCAACAGACCTTTGGGAACATACTTAGAATCATAGAATCATAGGATGGTTTGGGTTGGAGAGGGCCTTTAATGGTCATCTAGTCCAACCTCCCTGAAATGAGCAGAGACATCTTCAACTAGATAAGATTGTTCAGAGCCCCATAGAACATGTCCTTGAATACTTCCACGGAGGGGGCATCTACCACCTCTCTGGATGATCTGTTCCAGTGTTTCACCACCCTCACTGTAAAAAAATTTCTTCCTTATATCCAGTCTAAATCTACCCTCTTTTAGTTTAATAAAACATTATTCCTTGTCCTATTACAACAGGCCTCACTAAAAAGTCTGTCCCCATCTTTCTTATTAAGCCCTCTTTTAAGTCCTGAAAGGCCGCTATAAGGTCTCCCCAGAGCCTTCTCTTCTCCAGGCTGAACAACCCCAACTCTCTCAGCTTTTCCACCTAGGAGAGGTGTACCAGCCCTCTGATCATTTTTGTGGCCTCCTCTGGACCCAGTCCAACAAGTCCATGCCTTTCCTGTGCTGGGGGCTCCAGAGCTGGACATCTCATGACCATTCCTCAGACTGTTAGTGTCTGCGTTGGATTTGACAAAGCATGCTGCAATTAGTGCAATTTAAAAGAAGTGCAAATAAGGACAGGAAGCCATGCGCAAGATCTTCATAACTGTGCAAATCCATCCGAGGCATTTTTCATTCCTGAGCTATGGGTGTCATTGAGGAGATCAGTGGATTTACTTGCATGTGTGTCCACCTGTGAGGAGAGAGATTAAAATCTCTATACTCATTCAACTCCCTGCTGACAAGATTGTGACTTTGTTGCAGAAAGGTTGTCTTGATATTTTATTATATTGCAGAGTGTAGGGCATTTGACTCAGTGTTGGATGCTTCATTCTTTCTGATAGCCTATTCATAATGTGCAGAACCTCATAGACTCTTTTCTTGAGTACAGAACCTCAGCTTCAGTGGGGGCAGACAAATGTGACAGTAGATGATCTTAGCTGAAAGATGATGATAATGATGATTGTGTAATCATGTAGCCAGCAGAGTCATACTTTCCTACTTTAGTCTCTATGAGGGAAATCAACTCAAGCCTTATACACTTACATTGTCCAGATGAAAGCACGCCTGTGTGTTATGGTCCTTGATCTGAATCCCATGATCTCATCAAACACACCTGTGCTCCTTCTCTGTGTCCAACTTCATGCTGCCTTTGACCTCTCCCCATGGTCTTCTAAAGCAGAGACCTGTACCAGCAGTCACCTTGCCTTCTGCAAGGACTCTTTTCAGTGCTTTCTCACAATAAAGCCCCCATCCTAGCCCTCCTGAGAAAGGCTTTACAATGCTGCTGTACAATCTATGGGGAAATCCTGCTGTGTGAAAAAAATATGCCTTTTTCTGAATGGTTCCACTATTGGAGGGTGGTAAATGCATCAGGCCTTCCTGGGTCAGGGAGTGTAAGCCCCATCTGATGTCGGTTCTGCCACCTCACCTGTGTCAGGGGCACGTCCTGTCTCAGAAGTCACCAGCCTGTCCCCTGTTCTGGAGGGAGACTGGGTCATTCCTGGCCTGCTGGTGGAGAGTCCAAAGTCCTGTTGGCATCTGTGCTGGGGATAAACTGCTCCTGAAGGGAGAGAATCACTGGGACATTTTCAGCCTTGTATTGTTGTTTTGTTTAAGGATGCCTTTCCAAGCCTAAGAGTGAAAAGGGCTCTGTGTAGTTGGATAGAAAAGGCAGGATTAGAAGGTCACAAAAATACAATAACACTGTTGGAGTTGTACAAGAAATTGCATTCATGGCAAAGTTATTGAAGAGGTCTCAGGCTGTGTGGTAAAAAAGACCTGAAACAGTCAGTCCTGCAACTGTTTGCCCAAAGCAGGAGGGAAGTGAAGCATTTACACTTGCAAATGCTGGAGTCAGCTGTAGCATCAGGGCAGGGCGGAAATATGACATCCCTGGGTGCATGAGAATATGTCAGTTTTGCACAGCCTAGACCACAATCTGTATTTGAGTAGAATATCCCTTTTGATCTCAGATGCTTCAAGTGCCCAATGAAATTAATTTCCCTTACCTTCCCTTGAATCATGGCCCAAGATTTCTTCCTCTACTCGACTGTCTCCGAGAGATGAAGCGAGCAACCAGACATGGCTGGTGATGGTGTCTGCTTCAAGCCATTGCGCCCTCCCAGCTCCAGGCTGCTAGAGCCAGAATAAAGCTGCTTCAGACCATGGGCCATGCATAAGCCATGTGTCACGTAGGACTTGATAGTTTCATATATTTTCTTATAAAAAGGGCTGATGTGGTTAGTTGCTCTGAACTGACAGTTGCCGTCTTGAGGCTCTAAAATTGATGTCCTTTTTGTTTTCCTTTTTGGTTTAAGTTTGCATTGCTTTCCTTTTGTATTGCAGCTGGCCCCAGCAGTGTCTTGGGAGATGACCTCATATGGCAGCATAGAGACTGGACTCGTAGCAAGTGTGGGTGGGGTGCACTGGCGTCTCCCAAGGCCTCAGGGGCTTTCCAAGTAACAGAGAAAATGCCATAGGAACAAAAGCATTGCCACATTCGGGCGGCCGGGGTGGGCAGTAGTAAAAACTGAAGGGGCACAAAACCTGCAGTAGCTTGTGTAGGTCCTTTGGCAGCGACCAGCTGGGGATGGGATGGTCTCAGACTGCTCAGTAATGAAGTAGGCAAAGGTAAATGGGAGCAGATGTATGAGGACTTGTGATCTTCTGAATTATCTTTGAAGGGAGATTTCAGCCCGTTTGCTTTCAGCATGTTCACAGTGCTGGTGGCAATAGGATTTGATACGAGCCCAGTTCTCTTCTTTCCCTCCCACCTTGGGCACTGCTTTTCTTTTGCCAGCACACATGGTGTGTAACCCACAGTGCCGTGCCGGATTTGGAGGGGCTGCCAGTGCTAGGTTCAAGCGTCTGCTTATTCCTGAGCTGAAGTATAGTGTAGACACATTAAATACAAATAGGCTTGGACAGGAATCTCTTCAGCCATCCTTTTAATTTTAAAATAAAATATATCAGGGCATTAGACACTGATATGTGCATCTTTCTTTTTTCTTTTCTTTCTTTTTCTTTCCAAAATTGCTATTAAATTATTTACACTGTCATGCTGTGCTGAAAACAAGCAGCCAGGTAATCAGAAAGTTTCAAATCATAAAGGTGAAAAAAGATACCTTTTTTTCATAATCATGGTCATTTTCACAATTTTATTGGAAAGAAAGAACATAGATGTATACCTGTGGTTACCGTTCACCTATGTTTGTAATGTTGCAGTGCAACAGCTGCACCGACTTCATAGCTGGCATACTTACAAATCTCTGATTGTAAAAGAATAATATGTTGCAGCTGGCATAAACCTGTAATTTTCAGAGTGAAAAATTGAGTAAAACGATGTCAGCCAGGTGCATTAATTATTAAAACTATGGGAAACTGCGAGACTGTATCTACCACGTCATTTTTCAAACCAAAACAAAATGAATGGCAAAGCTTATCCTAATGTACAAAGTTATTTAAAAATAAACATTTACTTCCAAGTTAAATTTTTCCCAAATTCAAAAGCCTTCTAATGAAATTAGAAACACATGGAAGTTTAGCATGGGGTGCCTATACCTGGCCATGCCTGTAGATATGACTCGAATTTAAACACATTTATCCACTGGTACTGTGACCTAAAAGAACAGCCACTGGATCTTTTTGTTGCTAAAGAGTTACATGTAAAGTCTTCCTTTTATAATTGCATATTTTTGTTTTCATAGTTTGACTGAAAAAGGGTCAGTAAAGGAGATAACATCTTTTGTCAAGTTTAAATCACATAGAAAGAGGTTTGCATAGGCCTGGCTAATAGTTTAAAAGGGAAAAAGATAGGTCATGTTTGTCTGGTTTTAGTTAAATATGCATTTCTTTAATGTTAAATAAAAAGGATATAGGTGATTGTTTTGCATAATATAGCTTTAGAAAATTTATAAGAAAAGGAGTTGCAGCTCAACTCATGCTTTTAGCAAAATAATAAATAGAATTCCAACAGATTTGTACTTGATTTTATACTGCATTTCTCAAGAATAGGGCACACTTATTGAAGCTTCAGAGTTAATAATTTTTTTTTCACCAATATCTCTTTGTAGAGATATATTGATAAAGGAAACAGAACATATACATGGACTGCTGTGAATGGCACTGATTACAGGTAACTCATTTCTGTTCTCTGTCTTCTTTTGTGTAGTTAAATGTCCTTTTTGTTTATTTTGGTTAATATTTTAGCATCACATTTTCTATACTAGCTAAGTCAGGACCAGATTGTCTTGTGTCCAGGCCTGTAGGATTTGCTGGGTTCCTTTACAGCTTCACAGCTCAGAACTGTTGCTCTGTCTAAGGACCAGAATCTGTCTCTCATCCAACTGTTGAGATTTATCACTAGGGTATTTCAGTATGCAGGAAAAAAAGACTTTTATGATTAATGTTAAGAATCTTACTTTTCCTCTGTTTTCTGTATCATATCATAGTTTGATTCTTAATTGTACACTTTCTCTTAGATTCCTCCTCTTACTTCATCTTTTCTTTGCCTTGTCTCCATGTTCTTGTTTTAATATGCATATTAAAAAGGAAGATGCTATGTTTTGGTCAAAATACAGAATGTGACATGTTTTGTGCAAATCTTTTCCAGTCATAGTCATTGCTTATATCATGATTTGCTAACCTTCATGTCATATCTCAGGGGCACGAACCATGCTGCTGATTATCTCTGAAATCTGTATCTATTTGTGACAAGTTTTAACTAATTAGCACTGACACCACTTTGCATATAAAAATTATATGGTGAATGGCAGCAGGAGCAAATGCAGTAATGGGCAAAAAAGCACATCTGCCCTTGAATCCAACATCAAGTGTATATAATTTCAAACTCGTTTAATCACACAGTTCTGTAACATTAGAGAGACTGTAGAAACTTGACATGATTCAAGACAAGTTAAGGTTTACCAAGTCCCAGAAAAGTTAAACTACTCTAGTTCAAAACCAGGCGGTAAAAATATCAAGTCAAATTTTTATCAAAGCAATATTTTTATTGTGGTGAATTAGAGTAGTCCTCAGCTCAGCTGGTTCCCATTTTCTGTTCTGTTCTGCACAGGTGTACAGCCAAAGAGAATGCAAACATTAATATATATGAAGAATGAAACAAGTCAGTTTTAATAAGAGAATGCAAATGTAGGACCTTATTTTTTATTCAGCATCCCATTTTTCTGTTGAACTGCCTCTATTTTCATACTCTATAAAAAAATAAAGTTTTTTATCAGACCATGCCATCTAGCAATCAGTAAAGAAATACATTTGATTTATATGACTTCTTAATTCTTACTGAGCTCCCTGGCATGAGACACAGCAATAAATCCATGGAGTCACATTGCAGTAAACCTATTAAAGGTAAAATTATAGTTTTTAATTAGCAATTTCTGCTAGCAGTAACTGTTAATGACAGGTAAACTGCTACTGATTTCCCTAGAGGAGAACTGGTAGAAGGCTATCACTGAATATTCAGCAATCTCACTTACACTCTGTTTAAATGGCAAATATATCATTAAAGGTCATCTCATTTATGGCTCAATAGTACAACTTTTTTAATGTTAATTTCTGCGGCTATCCATTCGAAAGCATTGCAGTTCTACAGTCATGAAATCCGAGTGCAAATATTAAGGATGTGATGTGGGAGATGGTGCTGCGTCTTTAATGATTACTCGCTCCTGTCCTTTACATACCTTTTAAAAACTGAACTCTTCTACACATGTACTGAATTTAGTTGCAAAAAGAAGCCTTATATTTTTTGAATGAAAACAAGTATAATCTGAAAGAAAATACATTGCAAATGCTTTGCAAAGCTTAAAATGTTATGACACAAGGATGTTAAAATGTTTTTGGTGATGACTGCATTATTGAAGAAAATATTTTGCATCTTAAACGTAATGTGAATTCCAGTAATGCCAGTTACATTTCCTAATGAATACTGGTAGTTGTTTTGTTAGTAAAGGGAGACTCTGTCAGTATATGGGACATGCAAATCAGTGCAGTACTACTTGCTGGTTTTTACATTCAATGATCATTTTGACATGTGTTGCATTGGGATGCTACATGTGTTACAGAAAGATTCAAGAAATTGTGTATTTTATTATCTGCAATTCATTGAAAGTCTTTGCTTATCCATTAAGCAGTGCATTTATGGTTGATTGTGTAAATAAGAATGAAAATAAACACAAGGACCTTCAAAAATGGCATGAACCTACTTGTGTCTATCACCAAGTGTGAGGCTGGTATGTCACTATATGGCTGTCTCGTCTCATGATGATCCAACCTCCAAACTTGTTAATTGCTTTCAAAACACATAGAAGCTGAAACTGGAAAACTGCTTCAAATAACATAATTGCTTTACTTGTCTCATTTCTATTGCAGTTTGGCATTGGTGTTACCATCATACAGCTTTTATTATATTAAAGCCAAAATAGAAGAACCAATAACTCAAGCCAGATGTAAGTACTATGAGGGTTCCCTAGTTCTGTCTAGTATTGCCAAGTCTCAGATTTGCTTAAAAAAGCAATGTTTAAGATGCATAAATTTTCTGGATTCCACTGATGTTATCATGATGTACCCAAAATCTGCAGCAATGATTCTAACCCATTGTAACATCCAAGGTACAAGAAATATTCTATAAAGATAGAATATGTGCAGGTACCCCAGTTCCTCTGACAATCCCTTCCCCTTTGCTCTGTACCTATAGAATCATTGCTTTGTGTATCCTCTGTTGCTGTCATTTTAAGGGTCTGGATACTAATTTTTTTCATTCTGTTAGCTAAATGTCATGATATAGATCATAGTAGTAATGCATTTTTTGGTTATTTTTACAGTAGTTACAGTATAATATTTAGCAAATTACCTCTGCTGCCTGTAGAAATAGATTAACGAGAAAGTGCTGTTTGGTTTGGCTTGCAGATAGGTTTTTATTTTGCCGTCTACAAATAGTTGTAGTGGATGTTTGTAATGTATTTTTGGATTAGACTAATTTCAAGCCATTTACAGATTCTGGAGAGATAATTGGAAATGATACTTGTGAGTATTCAAAAGCATTCCGTTTATTAGGTGTAGCTGAACTGTAATCTAGATAGTAGACAAAATATAACCCATCGCATCCTTTTAACTTTATCCAAGTGTTGCAATAAACTTGAACAAATGTGCAGTTAAGTGGAAAGTTAGAAAAGCACTATGAATCTCTCTGACAGGCATAGATCCTTTTAGATTAGAGAAAACGTGATTAGTGCTAAACCACTGTCCCCTACCATTGCCTCCTGCATATGAAGTAGAGTATAGCAAGTTTTTAATAATCAGTGATTTATTTTGTAACTTTGTCAAATAGTAAGTAGCTTAAAGTTAAAGTTTTAGTGGGTGAATGTGGTTCTCCTGATGGATTAGATAATCTGGTTTTGCACTTATATCAATATAACCTGCAAAACAGACCCTTGAAATAGCCACAGTATATAGAAGGTACTTGAGAAATAATTGAGAGGGACATGTTCTTCAGTCTTCAAAGATGTTTGTCTCTTTTCCAGACTACAGCTGTATGTAAATTGAACCTTTGATCTATCTATGCACAATATTTTTATTCAAGGGGCTGTTTGAATAAAATATTGGTTTGTGACCCCTTTTGCTTTACCCTGTTTTTTTCTGTTTCCCTGCTTTCTCTTTCTGATGGATAGTGGCAATCAAAAAGGGCAAGTATATTCTTGTTGCTCAATTTCCCTCCATTTACTGCAGTTGATATTTTTCACTTATATTTCTATCCCTACTGGATATTCTCCTCTGTATTCCTCATCTCAGGATTTTTCCCATGATCATTGGGTACCGTAGCAGTAGAAAGGAAAAAAAAAAAAAGATGTGTTTTTCTGTTTTCATGCACATTTCAATATGTTGCTAATCTCTAATCCTTCTTTGTCTGGTCCTGTTAGTGTTCTGTCACCCCAGCCATTAAAGCCATTATTTTCAGTAGCATTTAAAGTGGGTGAATTTTTAAATTTTATTGCAGAAAATACTAGAAGAATTTTCCTTCATGTTCTAACAACTCGGTGTCCCAAATATATCTTTGTATCAGATTGTAATTCTAATGAAAACATCTTACATGTTTTCATGTTGCCATGCTAATGAATGTCTCTCTAAGTAAGTTATTAGATACATTATTGTTGCCAGGTGTATGCTGTATATAATAATCAAGTAAATTCTTCCTACGCTGTGAAATATGGAGAAGTATACAGTATATTAGTAGCAAAGTGTCTCAGAATAAACATTTCTTTCTAAATTCATGGATGCATGCAAAAGCTAGTCAAATATTTTTAGGAGAAATTGATGGCAAAAACCCCAGTTTACTTGCTTTGTGTTTCCTCTTCCTCTTTGTAGATACAGAAACATTGAAGCTTGACCATTTTGATGAAGCTGGCTATACGTTTATAGCACCAAGGTTGGTTAATTTCCCAGTAAAAGTATCATTTCAGCAGTAAATAGACATCTAATCAGATTAATGCCATTTACATAATACAGACTTGACCAATAAAGTTTCATTTTGGTAAAAAGTATTAAGTAAAAGCGCGGTTTTTTTTAGTGTAATTAGCATCTTCAGGCTCTGATTCCTTTTTCTACTAATCAAAGAGAGCTGTAAAATCTGACATGTCATCACTGGCTGATGTTTTTAATGAAATCTCATATACATCTGTTCATTTCTTGTGGCTGTGACTTTTAAGTTTTTACAACTTTGTACCTGAGCTTCTCGTTGGTGAAATAAGTACCGTAGTACTTACCTTGAGATGTTTTCCAACTGTAAGAGAAAGTGTTTCGAAGCTTTCTGTCACTTCTGGATGAATTAAATTTTGATTCATTGAACATAAAAAATTATTGAGTCATTGAAAATTGATCAAGTAAGTTGATTAATTCCCTGTTTTTTTCCTGTGAAATTGTGTAGCCCTTGTTGCCCTCATAAATGTTTGTTTGTGAGGGAAACATGGTGTCATAAAAATTCTTAACAATTAAATTTCTTTAAAAGATAGCTATGATAAATAAAGGAAAAGCTGTGCCATCAAGGTCATTTAAGAATTGTTGCATTTCTAATTTATCTTACAAATTTCTGTATCCTTTTAAATTTAGAGTGTTTCAGATTGATTCGTATGTAAAACACAGTCTTCTATCTTCAAATGTATTCTCAGTTTAACTGTTTAATTAATTGTTCTAAAGGACTGAAGTTGTTGATAATAGATTGTACCAATTATCAATTTCCAGCAAGTCCCTATTTGTTAGGCTGATCTACACAAACTAGGCCTGTTTGATAAGGAGCTCTGTTTAAATGTGAGTGTTGGCAGAGTAAGACAAATTCCGATTGTGCCTGTAGTCTTTCAGGATCAGGGCAAAGTAAGTAAAGGGTAATAAGATAGGCTATTCATAAGAAATACTTCAACAGAGTTCTTTTGTTGGTAAAATCAGTTTAATATAAAAAGTTAATGTAAAAAGAAATCTCCCTGCTTTACTGCTGAATGGTCTCTAACTTCTCATTAAGTTGTTTAATGCCAGTCACCATCTAATATTTGCCTTCAAAATGCCCAGTGACTTTTATTGTTCTTATTTGTATTCAGTAAATTGCCTAATGATGTGTTGCTTTATTTTATTACATTATGTAAAGGACAGTAGTTTACTGTTTATCTGTTTTGCATATGTCAAAACAAAGAGTGTTTATATACTTATGTGCTATTAAAATTTCTTTTAAGATTTCTCAGAGGATAGGAACTCATCCCGTAAATCTGGCCTTAGCTGAGCATGAACTATGTTTTAAACAGCAGTTCATGTACTTTCCAATACAGTTTAACCCAGAAGCAGTCTAAATTCACTGGGCATTTTCTTGTTCAGATGACAGGCTCTATGGTCTCCTAATTTCATGGGCACACTAGCCCTGAGTGCTTTTTCTGGGAATCTATGCCCTATCTCATACATGGAATTTTCTGATAATTCAGATTTAGGCAAGACCTTGAACTCTTTATTTCCCATAGATGCCTGAAATATGGTCAACATTCAGTACTGACCGTGGTAGTGAATTTCTGTGGTAGTGAATTGCTGTAGTAATGCCAGCAACCTCATTGTAGTTGCACAGTCCTGCTTGGACTTTAAAGTTGCTGAGCCATGTTCGTCTGCTTTAGTAACAAAGGAAACAAATCTGAGAAAACTGATGTTTTGTTGTTTTTCAGAGAATACTGTAATGATGTAAAAAAATCAGAAAACAACACAGAGTTTCTATTAAATTTCAATGAATTTATTGACAGAAATACTCCAAGCAGTCCGTCCTGTAAGTATTCTCAAACCACTGGAATTTTTCTTAGGAAAATACTTACTTATAAATTACAATTAGTCAAAACAACAGCTTTCATGCCCACATCACATGATTTTGGGTTTTATCTTGGATGATTTTTTTTAGCAGAAATACATCTAGATTTGCATTTTGCAATCCAAGGTAGACATTGTAAAATTAGTTTGTGGTATTCTGGATTCATTTCAGAACATTTGCAGGGCATTATGCATCCAGCATTTTCCATGTTTCCCTTCAGCATTATGTTCTAGCAGCAAACAACTGCCAGTTTGTTTTAATACACTCCAGATATTTCAAAATGAAAGGTTTTTTTCTCTTGAGCACATAAGCTAAAGTAAGTCTCAAATAGACCTCAAGATCTTGTAATGAAATCTTCAGTCTGCTTTCTTGTCAGCTTACATAACCAAAACAAGTAAAGAAAAGATGCCAAGAGCTGATATAACCAATAACCAGCATGAAAGATAAGGAAGTTCTGTTGCTGGTTCACAAACTGGTTAAAGAGATCTCACTTGGGCATGAGTTGTTGAAGACCATAGATTCATGTAACTGCTGCAGTGCTGAGCACTGGGCTTTGGGAAGGTGCTAACGGGTTTAAACTGGGCCTCAATCTCTGTTTAGAATAAATGAGGAGTTATGCTTTTGAACGATCAGTAATTTTGAGCAATCAGTAATGCACTTAAGTCACGTTCTCATGAAAAATTCAATGTTTGGATTTGTTTATTTATGCATACAAATATGTTTAGCATCATTAATAATTTATAAACAGTTGGAATAAACTTTTTTTTTGTCTTGCATTCCTGAGTCTTTTTAACATGTTGCTGTCAGGGATCACTGATCAATTCAATAAGAATCTCTCTGCCAGACCATGTAACTGAAGGAATGTACACTTAGACATGAGATCTTCTCACAAAAGGCTATTTTTGTATGCATGTGTGGGTGTTTGTTGTTGTTTTTAATAATCTTATTCGTTGACACATTGCTGACTGACTGAAATTTTACTTGAGTCCCTTGACTCAGTCTTGGAAATGAAAGCTTTCACTTCAAATGATTAAACCAGTTAATAAATGAAAACTCTAGTTTAATAGTCACTAGTTACATAAGCAAATATTGAGGACACATTTAGTGATATTGTAGTATACACTAGGGCTTGGTAAGTAATTATGCCAAAATGTTTTCAAATTATTGCTATATTTCATTTTGGAATCCACAGCAAAATTCACTTTTTTCTTTATTTTTTTCTGATAATTAAGTTACTTTAAAAATAGCCTCCTGAATAAGTAAACAATGTGGAATAAAGGAAACAGTGGCTATGGAAATTATCTCAGCTAAAACTGCTTTTCAAAAGGAATAACTGGTAAAATCCCCAAATTGAAATAATCTACATACTATAAATTTAATGCCTGTCGTGTTTTGACTCACCCCATCCAACTTTAACCTGTTAGAAGTAGGCCAGGAGTATAGACAACTACCTCTGCTGTTACTAAGGGGACAGTAAGAGCAATTCACCCTACTTGTCTTAGACATCCTCTTTACGTAAGTAAGCAAGTCTCACTTTGCGAAGATGCATGCAGTACAAGGGCATCCTAAACAAGAGGTGCATCCAGTAAAATATTAGGCGTCTGTATTAGCAGAGATAAACATCACTCTAGGAGACATATTTTAATGTTTATATTCAAGCAGAATTTCAGTTTAATTTCTAGGAAAAAGTGAATGCAGCAAAGCCCTCCAAATTTCATCCTTGAGTTAATTAGTGTGGTTTTGTCATTACTTTCAGCTGAAGAATTATTTTTAAAAAGGTACCCTAACTTCTATTATATACTCTACTATGACATTGTGGTGTGAATAGGGAAGGTGACTCTGTGGCATTTGATGCAGTTTAACAGCTTTACCTAGGTCAGCCATGTAAATGTATCTAATGAGAATTAATGTATTAAGATGATATCAGACAGTGCTTCCTGCTGGTAAATCAGAGCTGCTGGCTCTGCGTGTAGCATGCTCACACATTCAAGCGTCAGTGGACTTGATGAAAAAGCGTTTTTGCTAAAGCTTATGAAGCTTTTCAATACCCAAATACATGTCCCTATTCATCTGTTTTGTGAAAACAGCTTGAATTAGAGCACTTTTTTAACAAAAAAGGTCAATATATTTTCTGGAATCTGAGACTTAGGGTGAAGAACAGAGCATGTTTATTTTTATTTTTCCCCAGAAGGACTTTTCAGTCTTGTTGGCAAGGCCAAGTGGCTGGGGTTTGGCAGGATCAAGATCTGCAGGCTCCAGTAATGGAACAACTGATTTACCGACACTGATTTACTGTGTGACATTGAAGAACGAGAGCCAGATTTTCCCTTTACATTATTCAGCTCCAATTTAGCCCTCTTTTCTTTTCCATAGTGATAAAATCTGTATTAAAGTGTGTGCTTACTTCTGTTGACCATTCCTAGAGCCTTCTCTGGCAAAGCAGTACTGACAAAGATGCTTGAGAAGCACTGACTTCTAACCATATTTTCAAAGATATTTAGAAATGACATATCCATCAAAGCTACTAATTCAAAATTAATTTATTTCCCTGCACCCATTTTCAGATGGCAAATAGGCTTTTTTGAGAGTCTTGGACTTAGCTGATTTAAATATATTTATATAGTAGTTGAATTATCTCCATTTTTGTAACATGTAAGAGTAAGTATAACTAAGTATTAAGTATTGTTTTGTTGCATCACCTGAGATAAAAGTGTTTGAGTGAAAGCATACTTTAAAAATGGATTCCAAATTTAACATAGGGGTTTTGCAAAGCTAGGACTTGTACCCTTATCACCTTGCGTATTCCTAGGACACAAAGATAGTTTTCTAGGATATGATGAAGGAAAAGTTTCATTGAATTCAACAGTGCCAAAGTGTTTTATTTAACAGTAAGTACTTAACATAATTTGAAGTTAGTATGTCTAATACAAACAGCCCAATTTTTGTGGCTGTAGCATCTTGACAACTCAGAATCTCATTTTAGCCATTTAATGAAACTCCATGACATAAAGTTTCAGCTGAGTTTCTTAACTCTTTTGATAGGTAATACTGATATGGTCATCAGAGTTTTGCTGGATGCAGGATTTACAAATGAACTTGCTCAAAATTATTGGAGTAAACTGTCCCTGTAAGTAATCTTTTCGTTGACTGATTTTTTAGATGCATTTCAAAGTTTGATAATAAAATGATATACATGTGTGTATATACATATATACAGTTAATACTTACACAAGATCGGTATTTAATTCAGTTATGCACTTCAGTGGGAACCCTTGACATAGGAACTTCTGAGACTTTCAGTCATTTTTCATTTTAAATCTTATTTTTATTTACAGTGATGGAGTTGTTGCACAATTTGTTGTTACAGATGGTGGAATTACTAGAGTGTTCCCCAAAAGGTAACAATTATTATCAAATATTATAATATGATAGTATGGAAACCTGAAGGGGTCGAATGTTAAATAATGGAGTTATTGAATGAAAAGAAATGTCTCCTACGATCTATCTGTACTGATATCTATGAAATTAATGGAATGTTTTGTTTTTCTTTGCTTTTACCTATGTCACTGCTTGGAAAGGATCTATAGCATTATTTCCATAGCAGGTCCTTGTAATCCAAGTTTCTAATCAGTGTAGAGTAGCAATAAAAGCAGTACCCTTGTGGTAGTAGTGGGGCCATGCTAATCCCTAATTACTCCTAAGCGCTCATTTGTTTGGCAGGCCTGCAGGCTGCAAATACTGTAAAGGAGTACGTGATTTATTTATTTTTTTTAGACTAGTAAGAGCAGACCAAATGGTCCAGGGACTTCAAGACAGAAAAAAGTATTATTACCAGAGAGCAGAAAGGGAATGTGAAAGTGGTCATATAATAAACTAGATACCCCCGTCAGTGACTGGGAATAGTAAGGGCACCAGTACAGATACACTGGTAAATTGCATATTTATCTATTTTCTTTGGTTATCCTGTGTTTCCCCAAAATGGGTAAATGACAATGAATTTTACTCCCAAAATCCGTTTCTCTTCTGTTTTGGTGTTATTAATGATGTAAAATCTTTTGGGATGATTTCTTAAAAGACAGCATGTGCTATAAAGATCTGTTTATATTTTGTTGCAAATAGTGTCACAGTTCTATTTGTATCGATATATCTAAAAATCATGAGGCAAGATCTGTGTTGTTCCAAGAATGCTATTTTCTTTTTTTTTTTTTAAGTTTTTTACACCTGACAGTTAACCAGTGAAAGCTGACAAAGTCTGACTAAATGAATCTCACATTCTTTGTGACTGTGAAACATTTAAAAAAAATCTGCAGCACAGATTTAAAGAGACTCTAACTATCTTTTTCTGATCACTATTTTTTGTGATTAGGGCAGGAGAAGATTGGTTGGAGAATGCTGAAACTTATGAAGTCAGCTTCTATAAACGGAGTTTAGATAATGACAACTATATTTTTACAGCTCCGTACTACAACAGTAAGTAATCACTGTTTTGAAATGTCAGAGCTAGCTAGGTCAATGTAAGCGTACTTGTGGAAGTTTCCCATACCAACTGAGGTCACTGACAAAAGACACAAGTGTGACACTTCATAAGGAAAAAAATCTTGGGGCATCACCCATTGTTAAGGAAAAGGTAGCTAGGAGGACACTGAAGAAGGGACATCATAATTTGTCATCGACTCTGGTGGCACTGTAGGCTCAGAATTAACAAAGCTGAAAACATGCGGAGTACTGGTGTTCATTTATTATACTGAAACACTGTTTCGCAGAGATGCTTTGGCAGAATTATCTTCAAAGGAAGTGAAAGAAAACTGCACTCTGGAACAATAACACTACCTAAAAAAGCCTTATTTGAGCCAAGTTCTGTAGACTTGCGTGGCACCAAACCTACCTTGGGGGAGCAGGTTCACATCTCTGTCCGATGCACCACTGCTTAATTTAAACTCTGCTTTTGAATTTGATTTCAAATTGCTGTTATTCACCAAAAATGGTTCATTTGAACAATAGTAAGTGCTCATTACTGATGTGAGCAGCATTAACTTTTCCAAGCTCATCTAAAAGCAGATGCTACTGCAAATGACATACTCGTCTCTTAAACATACGGGATCTTTTACTGCTGTTATTTCATACTTATTTATTGTGTCTTTTCTCAACAAAATATTAACAAGATAAGGAACTAAATTCCCTGAAGCTTTTGTAGTTCCTCAAAGAGCTCCAGTGAATGTACTTTTAACTTGCTTTTTCATACTAAGCAGCATTGAAAACAGGCTGAAGTCCATCAGAGAAGTAATTGTTGGTTAGTGAGTGGTATCGGGACACCCTGCATTGAAAAATACACAGACGACAGCAGGATAAAATCTTTGGCTCTAATCCCAGTCTTAACAGAGCTGCTCACATGCATAAAGCTATTCATGGCTCTGTCTGCAGAAAAAAAATAGGCTACAGTAACTTTATGAAGCAGTGAAACTGTGTACAAAAAGAGAATGAAGAAAAGTAAACAAAAGTATTTCGGTCATCCAGATGTTGGTGATCTGAGCTATTACAGGTGATAAATGTGTAGTACAACTGAGTCAGTGCTTTTGAACAAGGATTTTTTTTTTTTTTTATCATTCCGGGTATTTGAGTAATCATCAATTTCAGTTTCAGAGGAAGAGGTTTTTATATCACCTTAACATTTTCTTTTTTTTCTCCCCTTCTATACTCTCAGAAAGTGGTGCCAATAGCTATGAAACAGGCATCATGGTAAGCAAGGCTGTGGAAATAACAATTAGTGGGAAGCTTCTGAAACCAGCAGGTAAGAGAGAGTGCTACTTAAACTCAGAATATATTAGTTACGTGGCTATTGCTCAAGAATGAATTAGAAATTTAATTGAGATTTCAAAGGAACTTCACTTTATATAACATTCTTTTCTCTGAGACTGTTTTAATCTTGCTAGTGGAAATCAAGCCAAAGATCTGGCTGTGTTTGAGTAAGAGTGCTTAATTTATTAGTCTCATGAAGGACGTTGGTGGTCAGACAACTGAGCAAAACTCATATTTTATCCTTTTTCCAGTTTAATAATTTAGATGTTATTATAATTTTTTCCTCTTTTTTGAGGAGTCTACAGTTACCTTTTTTTTTTTTTCATTTTACTAAAAAAGACTTTCATGTATTTCTTGTTAGTTGTTGGAATAAAAATTGATGCAACCAGCTGGATGGAAAATTTCACAAAAACCACAATCAAGAGCCTGGTAAGCAATTGACCAAGTCTTTTTTGAACTTTATTTGCATCTTTCAAAGCTTCAGATGCAAATAGGTCTAATGGGTCTTTGTGACAGAGTCACACTGATGCCTAGTTGCCAAGAAGTTGTGGTATTTAAATCGTCCAAATGCACAAAATAAATCTATGTGGAAACAGGCTGTATTTTGTACGTGTCTTGCTTTCATAATTATAGAATGTGGATAAAGATGAAGAAAAATGACATATTCCATCCAGTAGGCTCCCTACTAATATTATGCTGTAGCACTGAATAAAAGCTGCAAAAGAATTGGGGTTTTTTGAAAAAAAAAAACAAACAGTATTATGGTGAATCTTTTTATTTAACATGGAGGATGGGTGAGCAGTGAGGATTTATATGGCAACCAACATCATAGCATTTTAGCAGAACTTGATGAAATAGGTGCGTAAGCTTAGGTGTAAATGGGAAGGAGGCTAAATTGAAGGGAAAACTAAGGAATTAATAGTACATTGGGAAAGGAGAGGCCCAGAATGAAGATGATTGTGGATGAGGTAATGTTGCTTGGTTGGTTGTATATTCAGGGAATCGATAACAGTGTCTGGCTGTTGTAGGTATTGGAGCTGTAGTTAAATGGGCAGGCAAATGCATTGCCTAAATGTCAGAACAGTTAAGGACAAAAATACACAACGACAGAACTAATTGGAGAGGAGTGACTGCAGCATTATCTGGTAGTTGTTTTGCTCAGGACATAATGCAAGGAGACAGTTTTGTGTGTATATATACACATATTGCAAAGAAAAGGAAAAACATGTTCGTAATCAAAGCCATAAAAGCTAACTGGAGATGGTGGGCTTCCTTTATCTCATGGGAATCCCATGCTTTGAGACTGGTGAAGCTTTTCATGATCAAAAAAGATACTTGGCAACAAGTTTTCTGGGTTTTCTTTCCATACCCCAAACACATGGAAATGCAGATGTTCCTTCGCTTTTAATTTATACTCAGAACACTGACATGCTGACAAGACCCCAAACTATTTGTCTCTAATATGGTGACCGCTCTCAAAAAGGGAGACGTACCAGAGACTTTGTGAAAGACAGTAGAGATTGTGCTGTTGATAATTACTGAAAACAGGTTTACAGAGGTATTTGTGATAAGTGACACACACTCAGAATTAATCTTGATTACTATACAAATATGGAAAATCAAGCCACTTGTTCTTGTCTTGATTGATTAATATCACTGCAAAATACAGTTGCTTTTGAAACATATTTTGAAGATTACCGTATTTCTCTTTTTTTAGTGCAACAGTGAAATCTGTGGCTGTGAGAGAAACAGTATGGTAAGAATATGTTCAGTTTATGAATATCCGGCAGATTATGAAAATTCACTAATTCTCTCTAGATTTATCACAGAATCACAGAATCACAGAGTGGTAGGGGTTGGAAGGGACCTCTGTGGGTCATCTAGTCCAACCCTCCTGCCGAAGCAGGGTCACCTAC